GGTAGGTTGATCCCGAATTTCCTGAGAAACCGCCACACTGCTTTCCAAAGTGGTTGCACAAGTTTGCATTCCCACCAGCAATGGATGAGGGTACCCCTTTCTCCACAACCTCTCCAGCAAAGGATATCATTGGTGTTTTTGATTTTAGCCATTCTGACAGGTGTAAGATGATATCTCAAAGTTGTTTTGATTTGCATTTCCCTGATCGCTAAGGAGGTTGAGCATATTAGGATATCTTTTATAGCCCCAAGACAATCATCCCACGTCCAACAACTCAACATTGATATAAAAAACCTCATCTAATATATAATTTATATTACATTCCCCAACTATACCCAAAGTGTCCTTTAACAAATGTACTTCCAGCCCAGAAAGCTGAAATTCTCTGAAGGTTTACTCTGTTTGGTTGTCTACCTTAATGGAACCTTCTCCCTGGCTTTTGAAAGTCTGTATGACATTAAGAGCTTAGGCTGGTTTTTCTGACTAACATCCCCAAATATAGACAACTACTTCCTCTGTTCAGGTTCAGATGGGGCATTTTGTGCGGAGAGGCGGTGTGGGAGCTCGTGGGCATCATATCAGGATTCACCAATGGGGCTAATTTCTTCAGCGGAGAGGGTAATAAAGAAAATCCATGCAGTAATAACACACAAATACGTCACTACTCTGTTTCTTAGCAACCTTTGCCTGGAGATTTTAACGTCTGTTAATAATGCTGGCCTAAATCGAGCTTCTCACTCAAGGGGCCTGCGAGACAGCTCAGAAGGGTAAAGAAAGGCACCTGCTGTCAAGTCTGATGACCTGAGTTTGATCCCTGGAACCCACATTGTGGAAGAGGACGACCAACTCACATGCATTGTGGCATACATGTGCCTCTCCCTGAATACACACACACACACACACACACACACACACACACTACATCCAAGCAAAATACTCATATACACAAAATAAAAATAAATCTTTTTCAAAGTGGACTTGGGTTATGGATCTAAGAATAGAGCCATCACTCTACGGGCAAGAGAAGCCCAGGAAGAAGCCTCTTTAAACAGGCCCATTAGTTCCAGCCTCTTATTGGCTAGCTCTTACATATTGTTCTAACCCATTTCTAATATTCTGTGTAGCCCACGAGCTGGCTTACCAGGGAGGATCTTAACCTGCGTCCTGTCTGGAGTGGGAGAATCATGGCGACTCCTTAACTAAGCTTCTTTTTCCCAGCATTCTCTTCTGTTTACTCCACCTACCTAATTTTCTGTCCTATGAGGGCCGAGGCAGTTTCTTTATTATTAACCAATGAAAGCAACAGATAAGATACAAGACCCACCTCCATCACTCCCATTTCCTTCACCTATCCCTACACCCCACCCCCATGCACTCCTCAGAGAAAGTAAGACTCCATTATTTTTGGTAAGGTCCAAGGCCCTCCCTACTATACCTAGACTGAGAAAGATATCCAGCCAAAGAGAATAGGTTCCCCAAAACCCAGTACAAGCAGTAGGAATAAATCATAGTGCCACTTCCAATGGCCCTGCAGTCTGATCCAGCTATACAACTATTATTGTTGTGTGGGGGAAAGAGAAAAAGGGTCAGTGGAAGATGAAAAGGAGAAGAGAAGTGGAGGGGGAGGAGAACTTAAGGGAACAGGATTGATGAGATGGAGGAAGGATGGAGATGAGAGCATGGAAGGAGAGTCTAGATTGTTCCTATGCTGGTTCCCTCCCTGTCTGGCTGGAGTTGGTGACCTCCAATTAGCTCAGGTAAGCTTTTTCAGTGAGTGTCACCATCATGATCTTGACATCTTTTCTTATATTCTCACTCTTCCCACTCTTCAACTGAACTTTGGGAGCTCAGGACAGTGCTCTACTGTGGGTCTCTGCCTCTGTTTTCATCAGTTGCTGAATGAACGTTCTATGGTGATATTTAAGGTATTCATCAATCTGACTAGAGGGCAAGGCCAGTTTGGACACCCTCTCCTTTTTGCTTAGGGTCTTAGCTGGTGTCATACTTGTCCATTGCTGGAAATTTCTCTAGAACCAGGTTTCTTGCCAGCCCCAGAGTAGCTCCCTCAATCAAGATATCTCTTTCCTTGATCTCATCTCTGTTGTCCCTCCATCTCAACTATCCCATTCCCTCAAGTTCTCCTCTTCCTCTCCTCCTCTTTCCCCTTGCACCTTTTCCCCCCATCCACATGCTCCCAATTTGGTCAGGCAATCTTATCTATTTCCCCTTTTGAGGTGGATCTATGTATGTTTTGCCTATATTATAATTTCTTAGCTCTGTTTTGAGCTTGTGTGTGGCTGTTCATGCATGTGAGTGCATGTACCTGTGAGGCCACAGTCAGAGTGCATACCATCTGCAATCATTCTCCATTTTATTATAAAAACAATCTCGCTCTGAACTCCTTGCCTTTGGATGTAGCTTTCCTTACTGTTCAGCATGCCACAGGCTGACTCCTTGTCTCCATGACTGCCATATTTGAATGACAGGCATGCAGTTTAGCACCTGACTTTTTTATACTTCCATTTTACATGATCGAAATCAAGACTGTGTACTTATATGGGAAGCACAATAAATAGTGAGCCATCTCTTTTGTTCTATTTGATGTCCTTAATTTAAAAATAAATCAATCTTTTAAATTTGACTTTGAGATATATATATATACATGAACTTATGCATAAACATATACAAACAAGCAAGAACATATTGTTAGCTAATTCCTTTAGATAGAATTAGTTTGAAATTAAATTTGAACTTGTATGTATTTATTCATATTATAATAAATGAATAGATCAGTGTTCATGGATATATATATGATTATATGTATATTTTCATGTATATACACATACAAACAATCATGTGCATACATATACACATTTTATTATACATGTATGTTGATGCTCAGTGAATCTATCCAT